TCTCAGTAGATTCCATGAGGGCAGTGACAATAAGCAATACTATACATTGACCTAGTAGATGTTCAGTAAATTTTGTTGAATGAATGACTATTAAATGAATAAACAATAAAGAAATAATTTTGAAGTAGCATTTACACAAGCACATGATATTTGAGTACTAATTCTATTAGTAGATACAGATTCTAGGAAAACTTGACCAGAATAAAATGCAATTTGTAGTAAGATATTTCACTAGAAGTGAAATACTCTGGCTTGATAGATCATATGTTCCCAGGGAACATATTCACATTTATTCACTGAGTTCGATGAAATGAAAGGTGAAAGGATGGTCCCTTGTGACCACAATCCTACCTCCTCTGAATGTGCAAAGTATAGAGCTAGCTTTGGCTCTATACAAGGAGCTTCAGGTAGGAAGGGCTTATCTTGTAGAAGCAGAAAATTGAAATTTTCTGTAAGTATTATAGCTAAGACCTAAAACTCAGTCTTCTTCCTGCCCTTCTCCTACTTTGAACCCCAAGATTAGCAAATCATAGGCAATTCACAGACATTCATCTATGGCCTTTCTCATCTTATTATTTCTTTTTTTTTCAACCTAAAATGATTTTCAGGTATTGGTAACAGGGCTTCTTATATGTAACCAGGAAGGAGGACATGAAGTTTTTGCTTCTAAATTGGGCATGTTCTTTTTAAACCATTAGAACTGTATTTATTTCTGTCAATGAGATCAGCTGCTTTAAAATCTCAATGTCATTGTCAAAGATTAAATATGTTGACCTCGGATCCAATTCTGAGCTACACATTCCTTTCTCTAGCATGTTGGTAAAAGTTATACAAGTGGAAACATCTGTGTACTTATCTTCAAGTCCTTAAATTTCTACTAAATCATTATTTACAGATTTAACACACTTATAAACGACATAGACCCATGTATTATTTGCCCTACATGCTAACAAAATTCTTTTGTTTGTCATAGTTAGAAAATTTCCAGTAATCACATTTTAATTCCAATTCCTAGAAGTAAGTAGGTAACAAAATTATAATACTTCTTAAAAAATCAGTTGAATTAACTAAGGCACTTGCCTCCCACATGGCTGAATTAGGCCATATGAAACATTATTTTGCATAATCTCTTCATGACTTTGCATTTAGTTATTTGCAAGCCAGTGTAGCTAACCTCTAATTTTGAAGGAATTGTAGACATGAATTTATTATCTTCCCTTTGGAGAACTTCTTGATGAAAAATTGGGCTGCTTTGCTATCTATTTAAATCTCAGTTTTGCAATGGTTAGAAGTTCCAATAACAGTCCTCTCCAAGGATTTGAGGTTTGGCATCCACCTTAGGAGGTGTTGATTTACCTTCTGTTTTAACTAGTTTCCATGTAAGGGATTTGGGGCTCATTCTCTTCACAAACCTAATAATTGCCTAGGCATAATGCTGCTCTTGTATATATCACACAATTGGTGGGAAAAGAAGTCATTCATTTAACAAATATTAAGGGTCTGCTGTTTGCCAACTATTATGGCAGGTATTGAAGGGTCAGAATTAACTAAGAAGGGAAAACAGACATGGAAACATTATTTCAATGAAACAGTAGCTAGAAGGGAAGGATGTAGAAAGCATGGGGTTGGCACAAAGCTCTGCTTAAAGTAAATCAGGAGAGTTTCCTAGAGAAGACATTGAAGCTTGGATTAGAAGTAAAAGTAGGAATTTGGTAGAGTAGGGTTGGAGGATTGGTAGGAAAAAATAATGAGGATTGGGCATTCTAAATGAAGGAAACAGTAAAGTAAAAGTCCAGGGGCATGAAATAATATACTGCACGTTGCTCAGCTTGGATGAAGTACAAAGAATAAGAGGTAGAGTAGCTATTTAGGCAATAAGTATTTATTGAGTGATTACCAAGTGCCAGTCACTCTGCTTGGCTTTGGGGACTCCAGAACTGAAGACAACAGACCCTCAAAGAGATTACAGGTTAGCCCAGAAGACAGATATTAAACAAATTATTTCAAGGGTATTATGTGCTTCAAAGAAATGTTGCTAAGTCTGGAAGGAAAATAACTTTGACATACCAACAAATGTTGTTCCTCTCCCTCATGTTTGCCCACCTTTGCCTTTCTTCATAAATGCCTCTTTTTCTTTCTCCATTCTAAAACCCAATTCAAGTGGCTAGACTCATTGCCTAAGAGGAACACTTTGAACATACGAATCAAAGAAAGAAATGCTGAGTCTTTTCCTGGCTTTGCCATCATTGGTATAATCATTGAAAGCATGGAAGTGGATGATTGACCTAGAGAGAGCAAAGGGTATAGAGTGGAAAAAAGAGCAGGACGCAGCATGGAGCTACCAGGAGTGCACAAAGGAACTTGAGAAAGAGCTGACCTAGAAGCAGAGTGAAAACAGAGAGTGAGAGAGAGGGTAGGCAAATGAGGTGGAGACATAGGCAAGGCCCAGGTCATAAAGGACTAATGTGAGAGTGTTTTTCAAAATGGCCCCTCACCCTCAACACTTCCTTAGTCACTCTCTGTCTATGTCAAAGCCAGCTTATTTCTTTTACCACTCCTCTATGAAGATTTCAAAAAGTCCCTTATTTCCTGTGTTCCACACCCATTGCCTTGGGAAAACCCTTCTCTTCGATATGCAAATATGGCTAATGTGACTTACTCAGCAAACTTTACTATGGACAATGTAGAGTTACTGAAAGGATTTTTTCCCCCATACACTTCTTTTTTTCACTGTGAAAAAAAATTTTTTTTTAGCTTTATTGTAGTATAATTTACATTAAAAAAATGGACCAAGTTTAAGTATATATTTCACTGATTTTGGACAATTAGAGATAGAGTGTAACCACCACCGCAGTCATGATATAGAAGTTTCCATCACCATGCTTTCTTTGCCGTTGATTCCTTTCCTCTACCCCCTGGAAAACATTGATATTTGTTGACACTATAGTTTTGCTTTTTCTAGCGTTTCATATAATGAAATAATAGAATTCGTAGTCTTTTGTGTGTGACTTCTTTCACTAACTGTAATGATTTATAGAATCAATGTTGTATGTATCAGTAGTTTGTTACTCTTTATTGTTGAGTAGTAGTCCATAATATGGATATACCACAATGTGCTTATTCATTCACAAGTTGATGGTATGAGGGGACTTCAAAAAGTTTGTAGAGAAATGGAATTAAATGAGAAAAATAAAATGTATAAACTTTATTTCTCAGAATAAACTCCATCAAGTTCAAGAGTTCAAGCCACTTTGTGAGTGATGATACCAGCCATTTAGTCCCTCCCTAAAGAACTGAGGGTCCTGAGAATTTAGTCATATCAATGCAGTCTCTATATATTATTAACTGAAGACAAATGGGTGCTCTTTACAGATTTTTTAAGATTAGGAAACAAACAAAAAAGTCAGAAGGAACCAAATCAGAACTGTAAGGTGGATGACTAATGATTTCCCATGGAAACTCACAAAATTGCCCTTGTTTAAGGAGAGGAATGAGTAGAAACATTGTCCTGGTGGAGAAGAACTCTCTGGTGAAGATTTTCTGGGCATTTTTCTGCTGAAACTTTGGCTAACTTTCTCAAAATGCTCTCATAGCAAGCAGGTATTATTGTGCTTTGGCCCTCTGGGAAGTCAACAAGCAAAATGCCTTGAGCATTTCAAAAAACTGTTGCTGTGACCTTTGCTTTTGACTGGTCTGCTTTTACTTTGACTGGACCACTTTTGCCTCTTGGTAGCCACTGCTTTGATTGTGCTTTGTCTTCAGGATCATACTGGTAAAGCCACCTTTCATCTCCTGTTACAATTCTTCAAAAAAATGCTTCAGGATCTTTTTTTTTTTTTATAAGAAAACATTTCTGAAGCCTTTATTTACAAAAGCTTTAAAAACAAATAATACCCTCTGTTTTGCAAATAATGTTTTGTTTAAAAAGGACCACCCAGTTACAGCATTATATAATGACTAAAGAATGTACAAGGGAAACAAACCAATGTGTCTAACATTTGGAGATTTGCTAATATTACTGATTGAAGTGTAGATAACACACATTTTAACTTGTAGTCCATCATTTCGGGTAGAGTTAATGGATTACCAAAAAGTCTTCCTACACATGCTCTGGTCTGGTCACATATTCTGCATGGCTAAATATTTCACAGTCTCTTTTGTCAATATATATAAAATAGATTGCAAAGATATACACAAAAAAATAAACAAGCATTACACTCCTCAGGTAATTTTATTAGCTATATATATATGAATATATATTTTGTATTTTGTTGTTTTGCACCAAATCTTTCCATTATTTATCTTTGTAGCAACTATGAAAGCACAATTTTTGTCTTCTAATTTAATTTGGTACAAAATATACCTACAGTCTTGTTATCTTTGGATTTTAATAAAATTGATTTGTGTACTCAACAAATCAAGAGCATCATAAGTATGGCTACAAAATAAAAAAGCAAGGGTAAACAGTGATGGAATAAAAAGAAGCAGATTAAGGGAAGTGTGCTATCATAAAATAACTGTAGCTTCAACATCTTGAACACCAGTTTCCTGGTGGATACTAAACATCCAATCACAAGGGATTTTCCCTGAAGGGTGTAAAGCTGGTTTGAAAATTCTTCAGTCACAGAGCAGCCTACACATGCCAATTAGAAACGGACAGACACTAGATGTGCTTGGAAGATTAACACTACGTACAGAAACAGCAGGTTACTAAGCTCCTCAGTAGTTTCTTGTCTTTTTTGTTGTTGTTGTTGTTAGTCTTGCTGAGTTTGCACAATGAATGTGCTATATTCTGTGGGTTGAAAATAAGCAAATACTATATAAAGTTGGCAGATGATCATTTTTCCATCTTGCTCTTCTAAGAGCAAGAAAAACCAAAACTTCTGATAAAACAGAGGATTTGAGTCAGAATCACTCTCTAAAGTGCAAAATTGATGGTCCACGATCTCAAATAGCTAAAACTCTTGCAGAATGGAAGGGAGAGACACGAAACAGGGAAATAAATTACAGTCAGTGCTCGTTAATTTAGGAAAAGGGAAAAATAAACCAAGCTCAAGTAGGTAAAGTTTATCAAAATATTCAATATGATATAGCTTTCCCCACTGTTACACACGCTTGCTAACAACTATATTAAATTAAGGCCAAATTTAACCTGAATGCGTTTCTATTTATTAAGATCTGAGATAGGAACAGTCATACTTAGTACTGAAAGGCAGAAAATAAAATGGGCTATGAAAGGGAAAAAAGAAAGGTACTGTCTATTGTCAAGGATTCAACCAGAGATAAAACCTATATACAAGCATGTGTGTAGCTCAAATAAAATAAAAATACAAGGACTATTTCATGTCATGACTGCTTGTTGGCTTCCTCTTCATATGCATTCCCTGTGCCTTTCTGTACATAGGATGAACCAGAACCAAGGCTATACAAATGACCACAATATTTGGCATCATCAATATGATCTTCAAAGAACATTTCTCTCATTTTGAAAAAGGCCATTCCTGTGAGCAGTGAATCAGATCCTGCCTGATGCTGTGGTCCTATTCGTTCCAGCTCCAATTGTTCAGCAACTTCTTATAATCCACCTTTGCGATTTTTGCAGCTCTTCATGAGGTACTTCACATCATAAATGACAGGAAAAAATAATCGAAGGATCTCAAAGAAGTCAAGTTCTTCTTCAGGCAAGTTAGAGTTGGTCAGGATTTTGATTAAATAGCCAAAGTCACAACCACTATGAAATGACAACCATTTGACCCCTTCACAGAGGACCACTCCCGAAGTCATAAGAAGTTCTGCAAAGTACTGGGTCTCAATTCCTTCCTCCTCATGTTTCTTAAACTGGATGCCAGATGTTGTTAGTAGCTCTATAGAGTCCTGGGCATACATGCCCTCCGTCAAATTAAACTTAAAATTAAACTGCCAAGTTGAAGTTCCTGGAGGGTATTCTCCTTGCTCATTCATAAATGTCAGTCCTAGCTGAATTATCTTTAACAAGTCTACATTACATCGCAATAGTTGGTACTGATAGTCAGCATTGCTCCTGAATTCTCCAATGGGTCTTGCAACCACAGCTGGAAACTCGGCGTCCATAGCAACGTAGTTATACTTTCGAATAACTTGACGAATTTTCTTCATCTCTTCATCCAGGTTGCAAGCCCAAACTTCACAAATTCTTTGACTATGATCTACAGTTGCTGCTGGCATAGTGAGGGCACAAGGGAGTCTAGATGCCAAGCATCAAAATGTTATACTTGATTGAAGATTTTTTTTCATAAAATACTTTATCCTTTATTTATGTACTTGCGTCGCTGAGCTCGCGCTCCTCCTCCTCCTCCTCGCCATAGAGACAGCACTTGGCGCGGTGGTGGTGGCGGTAGCGGCGGCTGCAGCGGGTGCCCCATAGACACCTCTCACCCAGCAAGGGGGAAAAGGGGAGCCCGCTTCAGGATCTTGATCCCACTTGTTTAACATTTCTATCGAAAGCTCTACTCTTGTTTGCAGCTAATCTGGGTGCAAAAGTTTTGGCACCCACTGAGTGGACAATTTGTTCAACTTTAATTTTTCAGTCGGAATTGTGTAAACTGAACCAATTGAGATGTCTATGATGTTGGCTATTGTTTGTGCTGTTCATTGTCAGTCCTCTTCAATTAAGACATGGATGAGGTCAGTTTTTTCCTGCTTCTGTGGCCTTCATATTTAACATCATCTTGTCCCTTCTTAAAACAAGTTATTCATTTGTAAACTCCTGATTTCTTTGGGGCATACTTTTCACAAAGCATCAGTGATTTCACCATTCTTACACTCCAAGCTTCATCATAAATTTGATGTTTGTTTTTACTTCAGTGTTAGCAGAATTCATGCTGCTATGATAGGGGCTCTTTTCAAACTGAGTCTTACCTTTCTTAGTGCCTCAAACTAGATCCTGTTCAGACATGTTATAACAAGTTCATGTGAATTTATTTTGGTGCAAAAAAATAAAATTTGAAATCCATACACAGTTTTTTCAAAATACAGGTTTTCCAAGAACTTTTTAAAGACTCCTTATATTTCGGTTGTTTCCAGCTTGAGGCTATTAAGAATAAAGCTTCTATAAAGATTCCTACACAAGTCTTTATGAAGATACATGTTCATTTCTCTTGGGTAAATCGTAGGAGTGAAACTGCTGAGTCACAGAAAATATATGTTTAACATTATAAGGAACTGCAAAGTGAATATACTACTTTATACTCCCTCTAGCAATGTATGAGAGTTCCAGTTGGTCAAGGTTCTCACCAGTGCTTGTCAGTCTTTAATTTGAGCTATTCTAGCAGATGTGTAGTGGCATTTCATTGTGGTTTTAATTTGCATTTCCCTAATGACTAATGATATGGAATATTTTTTCATATACTTATTTGCCATCTGTATCTCTTTGGTGAAGCATTTGTTCAGCTCCCTTGCTCAGTCTTTTAAATAGAGTTTTTTGTCTTCTTATTATGAGAGGTAAGAGATCTTTATATATTCTGGATATAAGTCCTTTATCAGATAATGTGTTTTGCAAATACTTTATCTCAGTTTATTGCTTGCCTTTTTATTTACTTAACAGTGTCTTTTGAAGAGCAAGATTATCAATTCTGATGAAGTCTAATTTATCTTTTTTTTCTTTTATAGTTTGTGCTTTCTTATCCTATGTTAAGAAATCTTTGCTAAACCCAAGGTCCCTAAAAATTTGTCCTGTGTTTTCATCTAGAAGTTTTATAGTTTTAGCTCTTACACAAGAGTTTATGAACAATTTTGAATTAATTTTTGTATATGATGTGAGATAATTGTCAAAACTCATTCTTATATGAATATCCCATTGTTCTATAATAGTACCATTTGTTTAATTATTATCATTTCCCATGCTGAATTACCTTGATGATTCTGTTGAAAATTAATTGATCACATATTGTTTATTTCTTCACTCTTTGTTGTGTTCCATTAATCTCTATACCAATACCACTCTTGATTATGGTGAAATCAAGAAGTATAAGTTCACCTACTTTGTTA